TTCCTTTTCTTGAGGTTCTTTGTTGCTCTTGGAAGATAAGTGTGTTTGTCTTCCTCTTGTAAATCTTCTATTGATGATTTAATGAAAGTGTTATTGGTAAAAAAAAATTATTTATTTAAATTATAAATAAATCAATACAAAAATGGGCTTTTTACAAAAAAATTAATAAAGTTTGATAAAATGGCAAAATAAGATATGTTTACAAAAAAATTGCAAAAATAGTGATAAGAACAAAAAGTTAATTTTTTTGGACCAAAAGTGATAAGAACAAAAAAATTACAAAAAGTTATGTTGCTCAAACAAAAGCAACATAACCGATTCATATCTTTCAAAGAGGAGAGAGACGATTAACACATACCAGAGAAACGACTTTGCTTGGTCATATTCCTTATTCCGTTCAGCCCAGGTTTAGTTTTAATTCAACCCTTTCTTCTTTCCTCTATCAATCTCTTCTTGCAACCAATATCAAAGACAACCCAGTTGTGAAATACCTTTCTGGGCTAGAAAAAAAAGGAAACAGAAGAGTTGGTCATAGCAAGCTGCAAGACACAAACCTGAGTTTGCAAACTAAAAAACTCTATTTGTGTCTACTTTAACACTTCCAAATTCCGAATCCCTTAATTAATAACTACCGATCTTGGTCCCTACTCTTTGTCTTCGGTCAGAATTTATCTTTTTATTGATCAAATGGTTTATTCATCTCTTTAGTTCTGGGTTCACACTAAAAGCAATGAACAGGGTGAGTGATTTACAGAAAAGAATTCATCCAATTAATCCTCTGGTTAGATTTTTTTTTTTTTTTAATTTTTTGTTTACTCTGATGAGAAATGACATCCTGATCAAGTGATCCATGGCGGGTTCTTCTAGTTTTTAATGGATTCGATTTTACCATGTCTAGTTCTGCATAATATTTGGTTTCTAATTCAGGATCCAACATTTCACTGGCAGCAATGTTTCCCACATCAACTATAATTGGTATTGGTACCCAACATTTCTATCCCAGATTGGACTTTTATTGATGATTCAAAAACAGATAATCTGTAATGGTTGCACATCTATCAAAATGGGTTGCTAGCTTACCCTGAGATTGGGAGATTTGAATAGATAGAAGGATGATAGTTGAGAATGGAACAGTGTTGTTGCAGACGTTTTTTGAAATTAGGAACTTGGAAGGCAGTGAAAAATGAGAACAAAATGAAAAATTTTCAAAAAAAAACATCTCATTCATTCATGGATTCACAGAGTGCTCCAATCTTGTAGCAGAGTAATGTCTGTTGTTTTTTTCATCACCTATGACTGAACAAGGGAAAGTGAGGGAATGAGAATGAGAGAGAGACGAACACAAATGATTATGAGTGGGTATATAACTGAGGGTAATTTGGTCCACAAAAAATAAAGTTTTCCCCAACTTACCATTTTTGTAATTATCTTTTAAACATAACTGAATTTGTCAATAAGATAAACTTTGTCATTTTATATGTAAAATATCCTACAAAAATTAATATTTATTTATATTATAAATAAAAATATATTAAAAATAGTATATTAGGCTTGTGAGCCTCTCAAGATGGGTATTGTGTAGCTCAAACTCAACTCGGACTTTATTTTCTTTGAGTCGAGTTTGAGTATTTAGCGAGCCGAGCTCAAGTAGCTTGCAAGTAGCTTGACTCGCTTACATCCCCACTTTTGACTCCTCTTGACAGGATTGCCTTGTAGAGAATTAGTTGGTTTTGGACTCATGAATGAGATGTATTATTTTACTTGAGAACTTTCACGGATTTTGACTTCTTGTGACTATTACTTGCTCTAATGCAGGTTGCTGCAAAGGTCATAGGAGAAGTTCAAGCTCTCATAACTTTTCCTATCATACCATATGTTATACTTGCGATCTTCTACATGTTTTGGTTTTCGGCTGCTCTGCATATGTTCAGCTCTGGTCAGATACTCCAGAACGATTGCAGCTCCAACTGTTGCGCTTATGATCTTGTGTCTAAGCGGGTGAACTGTGATCGTTGCTGTGGTTACAGCCTCCATTACTCACCTCATGTTGCACTTGCTGTCCTTTTCCACCTGTTTGGGTGTTATTGGGCCACACAGTTTGTCATTGCATGTTCCTCCACTGTGATTGCTGGCTCTGTTGCTTCTTATTATTGGGCTCATGGTGAGACCTCGGTAAGTTAGTACATACACGGCACATGATGGCATGGTATGAACATGAAACTTAAAATAGGGGTTGGCAGGTCTGAACTATTTAGGGAGGGCATCAAGACCATGGGTACTAATAAAACTAATTACTGTTTGTACTTGAATTTGCAATTTCTTTTCTTGTAAGCTACATGCTGTTGTATACTGGGTCTTCTTTATTTATGATTAGCAAAACCTCCTTTGTTCATGACATTATGTTAGTGAAAAAAATAAAAAGAAACTTGACCTTGCTTTTATTGTTGTATTGCCAAGGTAGAGTAAAAACTGATTCAGTAAGTTCACGCCATAGTTATCAAGGCATTTCCTAGGTGACAAGGTGCTAGGGGGGAGGGGGGCTAAATACCTGCCTTTTTTTTTTTTTTTCTTTCATTGCATGTGCTATAATGTTCTTGAATTCAATGATCTTTTGCCCTGCTTTTCTGTCTGGATCTTGATGTAATATACAAATAAATTTGGTTTCATTTTCACTTGGCCCATTGCATTGCTTGATTACTTGCATTTATGCTATTAAGGAAATTCATGATTTTGCATATGCCTTGTTGCTTTGCTGATGAGATTATTTTATTGCATAAGATATTGCAATCTATCATTGAAATTGCATTGCCTTTTGAAAAAAAAATAATATAATGTACCTTGATTTCATTGTTATTGTTTGTTCCTTATTATTTTTCAATATAAAATAACAATATAGTGGAAATATGTTATATACCAATATGGAACAAATCCTGTAAGTTAAAAGTTTTTCCCAAAACCCACTGCCTATACCATGCCTGGTGGTGGCCTAAGTGCTTAGGTTACTTTCACCTTGATGATTATTGTTGGCAACCGAGTTCTTTAATGTGAAAACGTTGTACGAACAATTTTCTAAACCTTCTGCAATCTGTTACCTCAATGTTCATGAGTATTTTTTAAAAAGTTACCCTGTTACCTGTCTCTGAAGATAGCTTTATTCTCTGTTGTTTTCAATTGAGAGCCCATGGTTTGTTGCAAGAAACTATTTTATGTGTGAAAAGTAACACTTCAACAATTCCCTCCTTGCCCTTCTTTAATTTAATAAGGAAAGGAAAATGTTCTTATCCTTTACAAAATAAGGTATGCAAAACTTCATATTCCCTTGTGCTTCCTCTGCATCTGACTGAAGATCTTGAATTTTATTAATGCAGCAAGAAATTCCATTTCTTCCGGTATTTGCTTCAATGAAGCGGCTTATGCGTTACAGCCTTGGGTCAGTGGCTCTAGGTTCTCTACTCGTGTCATTGGTTGAGTCTGTTCGCTATATACTTGAGTCAATACGTCGCAAGTTGAAAGTTGCTAATACCACACCTGAAGGCTGGCCTAGCAAAGTGAAATTTTATAGTTCTCGGTGTTGCTTTACATGTATCCAGTCAACCATCAGATCTGTCAACCGCAATGCCTACATAATGGTAAGCAGAGGAAAATTGATCAAAATTTTTTCTTGATTGGTGATAGTAATTCTTTTCTTCTTGTGTTTATATTAAAGAATGATATACAATGTTGTACCAGGCACCCCTGTTTTGGGCTAGCCCCTTCTACCTTCCCCTCTTTTTATCTTTCTTGAGCATATTACATAACCCCATCATTGCACACTTCTCCCCCCAAAAGTTGATTCCTAGTCACTTGGGATCCAACTTCGGTATATTATCTACTCCATTTTGAATTGTTTTACTGTTGGAAAGTAGAAGATTGACTCTCTGATTGATTCTCCATAATTTTAGGTCCATCAGTTTAGGAAACTTAATTTCC